TCTAGATAGGCTGACTAGCTGCCAATGGATGAACTTGTGCCAAGGGACATCTGGGTACAAATGTTTGACTAGATAGGACTTAATATATATGACAGAATCTATGAAATCTGGTGGGGGGGTTATGGTGGTGTGGATGGGGGAAAATCTAAATTTGATTGAGATCTATTATATGAAATGCCTAAAATTCAATAAAAATATACATAAAAATACTTGCATGAAATTCTCAAAAGAATCAATAACAATGTTATTTTGAAATCTATGACAGGAACATATAGAAAAAGGAGACTAAAGCTCTAAGATTTTTAACTCTGTGAAATAGGTCAAAGGGCATGATCAAAAGGCACCTTACAGTGTCTGGAACTCTCAATAGATCTTTTCACTCCCCATTGAACAGGCAGAAGCAGAAAAAAATCTAGACTCTGTGGCAGAATAACAGGCAGTGTAGTCAAAGATCAGCAAAGCACCAGCAGCTGAGTGAGACTACAGAGAAAGGTGTGGGAGATGGGGCAGATCTGTGAGGTATGCCAGCCATGTTCCCGACCTTGGGAGGTTTATGATACAGGAGACCAAAGTAAAACAATGTATCATAGAGCATATTTAAATATGAATCTAAACTCTGTCATCCTACATAGTAGAAATGACAGAAGTTAAAAGAGGAAAAAGTTCCATAATTAACACAATACGCATAAACCTATTCATTAGAATTCCTGTATGTATGCTCCAAAGTCACTTTGCTATTTCACAAAGGGTATATGTAATTGGTTTTTATAATTATATTGAATCCGATTTTCTAGCACATTGATATTAAAGTACCACCTACACATAAATGTCTAGGTCAACTTCTTGTTAGGAAAAGAATCATAAACACATGTTCTAAAAAGGGGGAAAACGAATTATCTGCCTTCCTTCATTCTATCTTCCCTCTTTTTCTTTCTTGTATGTCTCTACCTCACTCTATTCTACTTAACTTTTGATAACAGATAACATTAAAAATAGCAGATACACTATTCAAAACGAACATCACAGAAGGAAGAGCAGATGCTGGCCCAAGAACTCCATCAAAAGTACAATGTGTTTCTTTTAAAAATTGACTCAAAATTTTCAGTCTGCCCAATTTTTAATTAAGGAAAAAGTTCCTAAAATATTAATTGTGTTTACTTTTTAGGGGTCCTTTGTTGATCTAAAGTAGTCATATATGTAATGATTTAATTAATATCTATCCTCACTAGAAGACAATGTCCATTAATACAAGTAGTATGCCTTTGATCACTAATTATACAATATGCAGACAACTCAGTCAATAGTAGTGGACTCATGACTACAGAATAAGGTTGAAATGATCACTTTGCAGACCACAAATATTGGAACAAGTGTGACTAAGTATAACTGATCAATAAAGAACCAGCTACCAAAATCACTGTCAAACTAAATAACAATAAAAGCAATAGCAACAACAGCTAATATTTATGAGGGACTCTCAATATGGAAGAGATAATTTTACAGCATTTATTTAATTCTCACAAAAATCTCCTAAGGTTTCATTAGTCTCATTTTATAGATGGGCTAATAAAAGCTTTAAAAAGGTCAATAACTTTATGATTACATAGCTGGGTGATTAAGGATTTGGATTTAATATAAAAGCTCTAGTTAGAGTCAAGTACTATGGAGAGAAGCTAAAGGCTAGGTTGGGTTACAGAACAGTGCCCATGCTGTCCTCTACATTGAGAACCATTCCATGCTTTTATACTAAGACCCTGTAAATTTGAAACACTGAAGTGGGACCAAAAGAAGTGCCTTTAAGAAGCATCAGAGATGGCATATGACTCACAAGAGTATTATTTACTTCAATATTTTATTGGTATATTGGGTTAACAACATTTTACTTATGCTTAAGATAATAAAATGTACATTATATAAGCATAACAATATCTCATAAAGATATCCAGGTCTCATTAAGGACTGCTACTAATCCATAATGACTTATTTGTTTTAAAACCTAACATTACTAAAAATTACAAAACCAAAACCAAGGTTTGTTAGATTGCTTTTTTCTCAAAATGATCATGCATTCTTTGTTTTGGGTAGGATGCTTCTTGTTATCACATGATTTAAATATTTTGCTGAACAGATTTCACAGAAGAAAGGATATTAGCACCAACAGTCCCAAACTGTCCCAATAGTAAGATATGGTATCACTGTTGCCATTCAAATTGCCGAGTTTTTAAGGGAAATGACACATCCCTTAGGTATGCTCTGTTCAGAATCTAATAGCAAAAGTTCTAAGAATACACTCATATTATTAAAGTGAAAACTCATACACAGTACTTCAAAGCAGAAAGTAACAAATAAATGCTTGACTGGATAGAGCTTAACATGAATGACAGAACGCATGTGGTCCAGTGGGGGTGGGTAGTGGGAAGCATGGATGGGGAAGGGGGTCTAAATCTTAAGAACTATTGTATGAAATGAACAAACGCTCAAAAAGTATTTAAAAAAGATGTGTTTTCTAAGGTTATTTTCCAAAAGGAAATACAATCTACCTCAAGAATAACCAAAAAACATAAGATCCCTCAACCAATATTAGCTACAAAAGTCCTTATTTTGTGACATTGTATGAGACTATACCTCAAATGCTCCATGAGCTGCTTTAACTCACATACAACTAGACATTAACATAATGTGGCTTAATAGAACTAGTTGCTTTTGAACATGTATTTTCAATTTCAAATTGAACAAACAAGAGAAAGAATATGAAAGAAAGACTTAAGAAATGGAAATCAGCTGTTATTAGTCAGGTAAGTGATGATAAAACAACACACTCTAAAATTATTTTCCTTTAGTAATGTCCCAACAAGGTTTGTCTAGTTGTTGATAACTTTTTGTGCATTCTTCCTATAATTAAAAAAAAACTGTTTTTGTTTGTTTTCAAAGGGACTTTTGTTAACAGGAAAGACGAGCTTCCCTTTCTTTGCCTTCTGCTCAACAGATTTTGTTTCTCCTTTCCAGGTGATCTAAGAAGGAAGGCTGTTGGCAAGGCTCTTTCATCTGCAAATGTTTTGGTAGGCTCTGTTTTTTGTTTTTAATTTTTATTTTACTTTTGTACATTGTAATTCTTTTTTTTTTTTTTTTTGGTCTTTTTTGGACTGTAGCCCCAACTGGCCTGGAACTTGCTATATAGACCAGGCTAACCTTGAACCCACAGAGATACAGCTGCCTCTGCCCCCTGAGTGTTGGGATCAAAGGCATGCACCACCATGCCCAGCGAAATTTTCTTCTTCAATGCAGTATAATATTGCACTGCATGTACCGACCACATTTTATTTACTTATTACTGGTCTCCTAAGTTGTTTCTGTATCTTGGTTATACTGGACACTGCTAAAATGAATACTGAAGTACAGATATCTCTTTAACAGACTGATTTCAATTTTTTTTAACTATTTGACCAGAATTGCTGGAACCTGAGGTAATTCTATTTTTAGTAGTGTTGTTAAATCTTTTTTTCCAGACATCTTCATATTACTTCCCAAAGTGGCTGCACTAATTTACGTTCTCACCAACTGTGCATAAAGCTTCCCTTTTCTCCATATTCCTGCCAACAATGATCTGCATTGGTTATTTAAAAATATTTTATTTATTATTTTAATTTTATGTGTATATGTGTATTGCCTACATGTATGTAAGTATACCTGTGTCATGCAATGCCCACAAAGGTCAGAAGAGGGCATTGGATACCCTGGAACTGGAGTTACAGATGATTGTTAGCCATCATGTGGGTGCTGGGAATCAAACCTGGATCCTCTGCAAGAGCAGCTAAGTGCTCTTAACACCATCTCTCCAGTCCCGTACTAGTCATTCTAATAATTATTACGATTCTAATCATAATAACAGTCATTCTAACATACTAAAGTGGTGGTGTGTGTGTGTGTGTGTGTGTGTGTGTGTGGTCTTTTTGAGACATGGTCTTCCTGTAGCCCCAGCTGATCTGAACTTGCTATGTAAACCAGTCTAGTCTTGAACCCATAGAGATCCACCTACCATTGCCTCCCAACTTCTGGGATTAAAGGCATGTGCCACCATGCCTGGCTTCAATGTGTTTTTTATGCTATTCCCTGATGATAAGACATGCTGAACATTGTTTTTAAAATATTTATTTTACTAATTTACGTATGTGTTGCATCTGTGCAACACATACATGCAAATACCCATGGTGGCCAGAAGAGGGCATCAGATTCCATGGAGTTGGATTTACAGGTGTAGGGGGTGATAAAAGAACTTGGGTCCTCAGGAAGAGCAGCAAGTGCTTTTAACCACTGAACCATCTCTCCAGTCCAATGCTGAACATTTTTCATATATCTGTTGGCCAATCACACCTGTTTGAAGAAATACCTTTTCATAGCCGGGCACAGTGGTGCACACCTTTAATCCCAGCTCTCAGGAAGCACAGTCAGGCAGATCTCTGGGAGATCAAGGACAGCCTGGGGCTACACAGAGACCCTGTCTCAAAAGAAGAAAGAAAGAAAGAAAGAAAGAAAGAAAGAAAGAAAGAAAGAAAGAAAGAAAGAAAGAAAGAAAGAAAGAAAGAAGGAAGGAAGGA